TATAGTGTGATTTTATATGTATCATTTTTGGATACACAATTTTATATATATATCATTTATATATAATATAAGCAAAGTTTTTTTCTTAATGATATTTTTTAATAATATGATTTTATGAAGTATCATTTTTGGATACACAATTTTATATGTATATATAATAATATAATAATGTGATTTTATATGTATATATATATAATAATATAATGTGATTTTATATGTATCATTTTTGGATACACAATTTTTATGTATATATAATAATAATATAATAATGTGATTTTATATATATAATAATATAATAATGTGATTTTATATGTATCATTTTTGGATACACAATTTTATATATATATATATGGTATTATGCTATATATATATATACTATATATACCATATATATAGCATGTATCTAGTACGTACTATATATGTACAGTACCATATATATATATGTGTGTGTGTATATATATATTTAACTGATGCTGGCTCTAGAAGCCAAGATTACAGGTGGAGTTTATTTCTTTATACTTTTCTGCTTTTTCAAAGTCTTTTCTTTTGTGTAATAAGTAAAGGTATTTAAAAGAAAATAAAAGTCCAGTGATGTATAGAAAATAGTAGTTAAAAATAATAGGCTACATAAAAATGTAATATAATATTCAGTTCTTTCAGCATCTTTTTATTAAAGAACTTTCATTAGCAAAAAGGCCTGCTTTTCATGGTTTGACAGCTATGCTGGCACATTCATTTATTAATTTTACATAAATAAAGGGGAAGAGAATCTGGTGCTTATCACTTTACTTGCATAAGGAATTGAGAATGGATATAGAAGTCGTGATAATATCTTTAAAAGTCTCATTAATCTCATTGAAAAGTATGGTGATGTTAGTTTGCTAGGGTATAAAGATTGACATTTTTGTGTCTCTATTGTTACTTTGTCTTTGGAAGATTATAAAATATCTCTATTTCATAACCTTGACCTAGTGCAAAATTATCTTCTTACCTAGATTTCATATCACATGAGGCTTTCCATGTATTTTTACCTAGGCACACAATGGTGAAATTATCTGGTAAAGGTACATAAATACTTCTTCACCCTTGTGCTTTGGGATTTAACATGTAATATTTGATTTTTTTTCTTCTTTCTTTTCCTCCAGCTTAATAAAGGAGCTAATCAATGTAAACCCAATAAATGGGGCTGTTTCCCTGTTCACCAGGCTGCATTTTCAGGTGCCAAAAAGTGCATGGAAATAATACTGAAGTATGGTGAGTCGAGACTTTCCTATATTACATGCTATAAAGACGCTTATTCTGATAGATGCTGTTCCTTTGAAAACTATTTAATAATATTTACACATGGGCTTCGATATAAGTCTAAATGCTCTTTCTGCTAAAAATATTCCCTATATTTTGAATAGTTGCTGTCTTGAATGTTATTGTCTTCTCCAGGTGAAGAACATGGGTACAGCAGAGAGTGTCACATTAACTTTGTGAATAATGGGAAAGCCAGCCCTCTCCACCTGGCTGTTCAAAGCGGCGACTTGGAAATGATTAAAATGTGTCTGGACAACGGTGCCCACATAGAACTGGTAGAGGTGATTGTTCATATTCTACAGGACTCTTGCACTTTAAAATTGTCATAATTTATTTTCTAAATTACTTTATAGCTCTTTAGTTAATGTAGCCTCCATAGTTAATTTAATCTCAAATGCATATAAGAAATAGATATATCCTTCTGTTCCTATAGAAGCAGAACAAGAGACAATATCAACCTCCAAATTTCAATCTATGTAAAG